AATGTTGCAAGTTATTCCGTCCAGCAAACCTGGCAGTACACGGAACATTTTTCGTGCTCAACTTTTTTCCCTCTAGCCTATCTAGTTACGTCTCCTTATTCTTACTTCATGTGTATTACCTCGAAATTATCGAGAAAATTGACATTGTTGACAAACTTGACAATAAAAATATTGTTTCTATCGAAGTAAATAATGATTTTTGTTTTCTTTATTTGATTAATAATTTAATCCCATTTTTTAAAATATTGTATAATATCCGGCCGGATTATCCGGTATCTGGCTACAAAAGTATATATAATATACATTTATCCGGTATCCGGCTATCCGGTAAAATTACTATCCGGTACATCACTAATTTTTAATAAGTCAATAGGTCTAATATTAAACCTATTAGGACTTATTAAAAGGCACCTTACGACTTACGTCACAGTTTACGTCTAGTCATAAGCTTTAAGTATATAGACATGGAGGGGTAATGTTGGCTCGGAAACTGTGTCCAAGATGTGTGCGAGAGAGAAAGGTAGACGAGTAATGTTCGTCTTCTCTGCGCGTGCGTCGATCATTCAACAGACAGAGAGGACAAAGTATCACCATAGTATAACCAGTAGGTCCACTTAGAGTCCTAGATTATCAGAGAAGCGCGACCGGTGTTACGAGTCCTGATTGGACACGCAAATGGCCAATCATAAGATTGATTTATCGCTATTATAAATGGCTGCCGAATAAATCAAACTTATGATTGGCCATTCGACGCCATTTTTAATATTTTCTAGTACTTTTGCGATACTGCCATAAGCCGGTCGCGCTTCTCTGATAATCTAGGACTCTAGGTCCACTCAGCGAAAAACTGAGTCTTCGCGCAGGTATCGCCGCGCAACTTTTGTTTTGGGTTGGATCCAATGAAATGCAAGACGATAGGAACGTAGATACATATGTGCAGACAATTTATAAGCAATTACATCAGAGATTTTCTTTAGTGATCACTCCTACGAATAATTGTCACTAATAAAACGTTTTATTCACTTCACACATTGAATTTATTGATTTACTGTATCGAATCTATATTATTACTTATCTGTTTTATTACTAATTGTGAGCACTTTTCTCAATTCGGTCCTGGATTTAACATGGTGGATACTCACGTGATCCGGAAAAGGAGATCAAAGGTGCCGACACGAAGTGGACCTACTGGTTATACTGTGATATTAGTCCCGAAATAATAGATGTAGTAAGCCTTAAGCCACAAGAAATGGACCAATCGCAGTCGAATGTAAAGAAAATAATCGATTACGATTGGTCAATTTCTTACGGCTTAAGGCTTACTACATCTATTGTGTTTCGGGACTAATAGACCAAGCATTCCTATATTTTTGCTGCGAAGGGGATGAAGCCGGAAGTTGACAGTTTACGACTGAGAGAGATAGTGCGATTTGGGGGAATTGCTGTCTTATTTTAGCAAGATGACGCTGGTGTCAATAACAGCCAGTGAGATATATACATACTGGAGTGAGCCTTCTCTAAGAAAATGCGTGGTTGGGATAGAGTCCTAGATTATCAGAGAAGCGCGACCGGTGTTACGAGTCCTGATTGGACTCGCAAATGGCCAATCATAAGATTGATTTATCGCTATTATAAATGGCTGCCGAATAAATCAATCTTATGATTGGCCATTCGACGCCATTTTTAATATTTTCTAGTACTTTTGCGATACTGCCATAAGCCGGTCGCGCTTCTCTGATAATCTAGGACTCTAGGTTGGGGTAGCCGCCTTGCGAGAGTGACAGCCATGCGACTTAGGGACGTCTGCCTCACTTCAATTACGTCATTAAAGTGAAGCAGATGTCCCTTAGAGTCCTAGATTATCAGAGAAGCGCGACCGGTGTTACGAGTCCTGATTGGACACGCAAATGGCCAATCATAAGATTGATTTACCGCTATTATAAATGGCTGCCGAATAAATCAAACTTATGATTGGCCATTCGACGCCATTTTTAATATTTTCTAGTACTTTTGCGATACTGCCATAAGCCGGTCGCGCTTC